GTGTGCTGCATAACTTACATGGTGGTGTATGTCTGTTCCTCTTGCATCATCTGTAGGGTGGTTTTGCTTTTTCTTCTGTCTGGTTCATGATGTGTATCTAAAGCTATTGTTGCTACTTTGGAATACAGTTGAGTCCACAAATTAACATGGAGACTCTCATTCTAGTTTTCCTGATGAAAGTATAAACCCCATCTGTAATGAAGTACACTACCAAGCATAGTAGGGAAGGGGATTATCACACTTGAATGTGTGCACAGATGCAGATGTTTAATTGTACAGGAAAACAAAAGCCCTGTTCCTGACTTTCTAAAGCCCCTTGGCACACTGAAGCCACAAAAACTGGTCAGATGATGAACCCTCCCTCCTTCTATGAAGTACAGCCACAGCTAGCAAGCTGTACCTGCATGAGGGCACTGGAAGGGCAGGGTGGGCTATAGCTAAGTGCTGTTTGTGTTTCAGCATGTATTATCTTCAAGTTACTCACTGTTTAGAGCAGACGCATGTTTGGACCAGTATGAACTGGGATAGAACCCAGCATCACACTGGGTCAGGATACAGAGCCACAGCTTTTCTGGATTCTGCTGGGGGAAAGCCGAGTGACCAGGCCAGGATCTCTCAGCCACTGTTCTGGGAAATACAGAATCAGTAAAACTGACAATCAAGTGACAGTTCTGCATTTAGAGCAAGCGTTCTGTAAAATGCATCCCTGGGTGAGCCTGTGGGCAAACAAGAGCCTGATAAGATACTCACAGAGCAACTTATCTTTACAAAACAGGTACAAGCTGTGGGTTGACACCTGTTCTGAAATATTTGGTGGTTTGGACATCTGTGCTGTTAAAGCTGTGCATGGAAAGGATGGAAAAGATTATATTTTTGAGGTAAGCAATCCTCTCTTTTCAATATATGCTTTTATATATTACAACCCCCCCAAGTAAAGAACGTTCCTGATAGATAGGCAGTGGCTTGTTTGTGTTTCAGGAAGGGCTGTGTATTTTGGAGCAATGTTTACATCATCATACAAAGCCACATGTCCGAGTTAGTGGCAGCACTTGCTGGAAAATGTAACCATATGGCTGGTAATGTCTTTTAGTGTTTGAGGAAACGTACACAAACTACAAAACAAAACCAAATGTGGATGTCATATTTTCCCAGCCCTTATGATCCCTTTCCTGAGCAGGCTTAGCAGTTTTTCCTGGAAGGTTTATAGATAGCACTATCCCAAGGGAACCCCAACAAAATTATACCTTTACATGGAGAGGGAAATTAAGAATGAAGTGGAAACAACTTTACTTTTTTCTAACCTAAATTTTACCATTAAGATCAGATTCCTCCTGAATCAGAAGTTTCTGCTGTGGGTAGTTTTGTGAAGTTTTTCATTTACCTGAAGTTTATTATGGCTAAAGATAACTTTGGCCATAAACAACCTATCATGGGCCCATCACACAATTCAGGATTTCTTCAGCATCTTTCATGTTCTTACAGTTTTATTCAGGAGGTAGGCGAGGGTCCTCAGAACCTCCCCACTCCAAAAGAGGTTGATATTTGCTAAAGAGAGTAAATAAGAGTATTTTTTCTAAGCCATGAGAGTAACCTGGAGATGATGGATTAACCCTCTCTGGTCCTTTTGTCCATTTCTAACAGAAGAGCTGTGTAGAAGTGAGACTTTTGTCACAGTGTCAAACAGCTCATTTCCTTCTCTTCTAGTTTCACAAATTTATTTATCACTGTTGCAATTGCTAATAATTCCCAAATCAATCAATGCCACTTTAAAGCACGGAGCAGGCTGCAGAATTAAACCTCCAGCAAAACAAGCAGTCCTAATCCCTACCTCGTGAGACACTGAGGAAGAGTTCAAGAAACACCATTTCCTTGGCCAGATCAGAGCTCACTGTGCCTTACTGATTGTCAGAACTCACCATAGCATAGAATATAGGATTCCATACAGAGCCTCCACTGTTGCTTCTTCATTTAGGAGCAGTCTTTCCCTTGCACCGCACCCTGAGATTCCTGTTAAATCTGTCATGCTTGACCCAGTAAAACATGGATGAGATGTGAGTGACCCCTCTGACTTCTGGTGATACAATATAGAGGAGATTCCTGAACATAAGACTTGTCTTGTGTGCTGCTTCACAGCTTGGCTGCAGCCCTGTGTGCAGCTGACACACCTGCATACTGGGAGGTATTGACTGCTGCTCACAAGTAAGCTCCTCTCCAGCAGCTGGGCTTTGGCAGCCTCCCGTGTGCCATTTAAAGCTTTGTGAGATCTGCAGTTCCCATAGCCCTTAAATGTCTCCAAGGATGTGTCTCAGCATTTTCTGCACACACCCATCTATCTAAATTCATTACCTATGAGATAGTTCATGCTGGTTTGGCTGCCCTTAGTCCAATAAATATCAACCCCACTAGTTAAAATTATAAAATAAATGTAGATGACTTTGAGACATAAGATCTTAGTTGTCTTTCCTCATACAATAGTAGTTCAAAACTGAAAGATGCATGCAAGCAGATACAAAACTAGAGTAGGATTGCAGGGTTTTGAGAATACAGTGCAAACTGTATAACTGACCAGGAGACTACCTCACTTCCTGCTCCAGAATAAATCCCCACTTTTCCATGCGAGACACTGTCATGTATTTAAAGACCAGAATTCTAAGGACTGCAGGAGACGTGACTAACTGGGTTTATGGAGCATTTGAAGTAGTGTACGTAATAGATGTTGCAACTAAAAGAAAGAGTGGATGGAGCGTGATAATTCTCGCTGTTCTACAGAATCAGCTGAATTGTTTGGAAGATGTTAATGCTCACCAGCAAGAACATTTAGAATCTGTATAAGACACTGAAATGTAGAACTGTTTGCAAAGTTCACATCCAACACAACATCTACAGAACTTATGATCATGGCAGGGGGGTTGGAACTTGATGATCTGAAGGTCATTTCCAACCCTAACTATTCTATGATTCTATGATTTGCTATTTTGCCATCTTACATCAACAGTTATTACAGTATAATTTTAACAGATATTGCACTATAATTCCATTGTACAAGAGTACAAGACTGTCTGCACCAGTGGAGGGGAAAAATACTGCCTTTCGTCTACTCTCAGCATGGGAAAATAAATGTGTTATTAAAGCCAGCACATATGTGCTGCGTTGAAGAACCAGTGGTTGAGCAGGACAGTCAGTCCATAAATACTGGGTTTACCTAGTTCTGCAGGTGTGATCTGGCAGGGAGCACACACACTTCCTAACGTATGGAGCAGTGTATGCAGACATGTTCTTCCTGATTTTTTAGCTAACATTCAACCCACATAACACCCATTAGGAAAGCCTACCTAAATGTCATCCAACTTCAGAGTGAATGTGAATTAGGGTAGAATTCTACTAAAGGATCCTTCATATATTCCTGTATGAACAGAAATTAACTTCAGAGGTATTTTCTGTAATAAGGTTGGGAAAGCAGCATTTTACAGGACTAGCTGCTTGGTACATAGCACATGTTTTGACAAAGGTGTTTGACAAGAGCTTTAGGACATGCATAATCCAAGCCAGTAGTTTTAAGATACCTACAGTGTTTAAATATTACATGTAACAACTGACATGCTCAAGAAAAACATTCTTAACTAATGTTAGAAAATATAACATGTAAGTGACTTCTTAGGTTACTGTTTGTGGAAAGTTACTAATTAATTTCATATTGTTCCTTTTCTAACCTATACCAATAATTTTATTGGTTTAGTGTTGTAGCCATTCAGTTGCTTTGTAATGGTCATTTTGTCATTTTTTGGTTTCACATTCTGCTTTCTTTTATTCCCCAAATCATGGAGCAACAAATTGTGCCAGTGGCTGATATTAGAGAATCGGTACAACATTGTGCCTCATCAATCTAACATTCTAGCTGTACTTGTTGAAAAACACCACTAGAAAGTGATTCTTTATCAATGCTCTAGTATGCTATGCTTACATTGCAGGTAAGAACGTGTTGGTTCTTAATGTTGGGTCCAGGCATCTTGCTCCACTTCTTCAATAAGGTCACCATATTGTTTTCAAGTTTCTGTAATAGTTTCTATTGTATCTATATTTGGTTAAAAGGAGGAGATCTTTTAAATAACTTGCTCTTCTTTTAAAGCCTCATTGCCATTGACGTTCTGCAGTGTGCTTGCTGTGTAAGTAGAGTAATGGCTCTTCAGGAATAATACGGAAGGCTTGAACTACAGTGAAGGAAAGACTTAATACACTGAAGTATAGTTGTAGACACTTCATTTCTGCTTACATAAACATTGTCATTAAATAAATATGCAGATCTTTATTATTGTTAGGTTCTTGTAGACGTCTCCTTCATGGGATGAGACCAAGTAGGTTTCAATGTAATAGAAAACCAAGAAATTGCAGTGTAAGTATAGCTTCTCACATTTTGTAGCTTTGGGTGCTAGATTTGGGTCCATTTTGTAGATTTGGGGCAGTTTCCAGTGCTTTTTTGTGTATCACTATCTTCATGTTTCTGCAGCCATCTAGTGACTTGTAGACATTTGAACAAGCTTCATTTGAGCAGTGTTTGAAGCCAAATACTACTACTATTTCCCAACCTATAAGAAGGATACATTTTTAGTATACCTTTCATCTTTCCACACTGCTATAAATGTCAGGGGATTTTGAAGGATGTCCACTTCTTGAAGTGCAGGTGGGAGATACTTTATGCATCCCCAGGAAAAAAATCCAGACCAATATGAAGACAGGAAGGGCAAAATACTGAGGTCATAATATTATTCAAGCCCAATACAACCTGTGTTTTTCTGTGCAGCTACAAGCTCTCTACAGTTTTCTTAGATGGGCACTGTAAGAGGTAACTGGTTTTTAAAATAACATGGTTTCCTAGAGGCTGTTCCCTGGAAGACGTCGCCTTCTCGAGAAGAGAAGTGGTTCTTGTCTTGTACTGCTGTACTCCAAAGAACTATCTCCAAACCCCTACTAGGGAGCAGTGAGCTAGTTAAAGAATCACTTACCTTGAAGGAAGGGTTGTCAGGTTGATCAGGAGGAAGACCAAGTTACTACACTGTGTAACAGTCTCAGCTGTTCATTAGGGTCTGTTCTTTCACCTCAGTTGGCATACTCAGCTGCCCAGCATCACAATGCCAGAGACAAGCTGTACAAACAGAAATTTCATTAACACAACATTGCAACATACACCTTTTTAACTGTGTCACCAATTCTTGCTAGTAAGACATCAAATTAAGGGCCATTAAACTTCTTAAATAGACTTTTAATCTTTAAATTAACACCTCCATAGTTTTAATACCAGAAGAAACAGATAACTTGCACATTGTTCATGTTCCTGACTTCACTGATCATCTTTCATGATTCATTCTTGGAAAACCAGAGCCCTGAGAAGCTAAACAAAAGCTCTTATCATGATGATGAATGCAGCAAAAGAGAATAAATGTAACAGATCTTTTAAACTGGCCTCACAGGCAGTCTCCCAAATTTTGCTCAGAACTGAATGGGTGGATGGCTGCTGCAGGTGTCTTATTTCTACTTCCTTACTTTTACCCTAAGCTGTATTAAAATTAGCTTCCAAGTGTTTTATAACCTAGAAAGATGGAAACCATTTGTGTTTCACGAAGAATGTTTCCAGCCATTGTAACCAGTGTAAGAAATGAAGAAGCAGATTAATTTTTATGTATTTTTTTAAACTCTTGGTGTGATAGATACTGTTTCTGAAGGTGCTGCAGTCCATCAGACTCCTAGGACATGTACCACTCACTCCAGAGTATATCCACTGTGTAAGGTGCAGTGATCCAGCACCAGCACTACAGCACTGGTTCAATGAGCACCAGCCTCTAGTGCTGTACTTCTGACTGCTCAGAAGTTCCTGAGCTTGCTTATCCTTCTGTCTTCATAGCACGCATTTCCAAACTCCAGTACCAAAGACTGGACAAAGACATGAAGATACAGTCTGCTAGAACTCGTTGGTAGTGCCCATCTAAGTGGTGTCTCACATACTCAGATTGGCAAGGATCTCTGGAGTTCACCTAGCCTGACTTCCCACCCAAAGCATGACAAACACCAACATTGCTCAGAAAGAAGAGAGGGAGGTGTTGCATTGCTTACCATGTCAGCCAGTGTTGTGGATACCGGTCTCCTATGACAAACAGATCTTAAAACCTCTCTTGAAACATAACTGTATCTCTAAATCTGGGATTTGGCAGATAAATGGGTGCAGAAGTGGCAAATAAGCATGGACATGGTTCTTTGCAATATACGTGGCTTTCCATCCATTAAAGAATATCCTCTATTGGGGTTAATAAGGGAACTAAATGCAGCTAAAATGGATGGTAAAGTCAGAAGTCTCTCGTTTTATGTTCTGATATTAGAAATTTTGAACATTTAAGAGTCTAAAATTACTCTTTTGGTGATACAAAGTTACAGTTAAGACCACATCTATCAGCTAAGATTCCTATTTCCAAACCAAGGAGCGTGCCTACATTTCCTAACAGGACTTAATATAGCTTAATTATTCCTAATAGGACTTAATATAACTTAATAAGAAAAAAATCAGCTTTTTTCAGTGAAATCTTCTGGGCCTTTTTTTTCTGTTTTGAAAGAAACAGATTGAATCCCCTGACATTTCCCAGACACCATTCCAGAAACAATGACATAGCTGTTCTTTGATGCAGAAAAGTCAATTATGTGATGTAGTTAATGGAGAGGGCAAATGTGCTTTGCTAGAACACGAGTTGCCATTCGGATGGACCAGTAACTATTGGCCTGCATGAACATTAGCATTCTGGGCTCCACCAAGGAACAGTTACTCACCTTTTTTTTTTTTCCCCCATAATGTTTATGATTTCTGTATCTTTTGTCAAAACATCTGACAAATACCTTTTTACATTTTAAATTAGCAACAACTACACTTCTTATACGTGACCATCTTAATGTTGTCTGATACACAATGAACCATACTGTATTAATAAAGGGGTGAATACAGGCAGATTAAACCAATCTGTTTTACACATTCCCTTCAAAGTCCTTGCATTTTTCTGAGATATTCACTATATTTTCTATATATTTTACACTTTTTTTCAATCTACTATGTTTGCAACATACAAATTCAGCTTCATGCAGGGACTTTGGACATAGAAATCATTTCTTTGGTTTGTTTTCATTGCAGATTAAACCAAGATCATATAAATATGTCTATAGGCACTGGATCCTTCATCTAGGAATGCTTGATTCACTTTCCCATCTGTCCTTACTTTCAGTGCAGATGTTATTCACCCACTACAGGAGGGACTGTAACACTTTCCTACCAGTCACCACTGAATTGCTGCTGTACTCTCCCCTCCCGACTCCTCAGGTGTGGTTACATTTCCAATTACAAACCATTCCTGCATCTCCTATCGAGACCTCAGGGAAAGCCCCGGGATTACTTCATCTCCAGTCACTCCCTTACTTCTCAGAAGTCACAGCATCTTTTCTTACATCCCATCCAGTCTTCAATGACCGCCTCAAGCTATTAGTTTCTTGTAATGTCAGTTACTTTCCCCATACTTAGAGCTCTTAAATTAAAATCTGTATCAGCCTCTGCCTTTACAGTCTAAATGTTCACCACAGCTGGAGACATCCAGATCCCAGAAAAAACAGCAGACGCAACACGTGTAACATGGCAACACAGCCTGTTTGCTTCTCTTACTCACAGACCAAAGCATGGACCTTAACAATTCCCCTGATTTGCAGTGAAACTCATTCCTCCTTGCCTACTTACCAACCATTATCGTATCTTCTGTATTTCATTTTTCTTTTCCATATGGAACCCATGTATCACTATTCTGTCAGACTCCTTGGGCACTGTGACTTGCAAGCCCTCTGTCTGGTCCAGCATGATCCTCTTGTACTGCAGCATCCTGACAAACCCCTTTTTCTTCCACTGCATGACAGGAGTTCCTTACCTTTACCATTCCTTCAGCTGCCCCAACTCTGTCTTTCCCAGCACCATTTAGGCTGGGTCTTCATAAAGCTCTAAGCAAGAGATCTTTCTTAATACTTCGGTAGCAAACATACTGTGTAAGAGAACTGTGTCTGGGCAATGGCAGAGCAGTTTCTCCTTCAAACATGATGATCTCTTTGCAGTTACTGATATCTTATAATTACACTGCCTCCTTTAGTAATCCCATCCCATTGCCCTTCATATTCATCAGAGTTAAACAGCATTTCTCATTCTTGCAGCCCAAATTTCAAGTATTTGCCTTAGCTACAGTAGCAGCAGAGGGCATTCATTAAAGGGTCCTGTCCCTCAAAGGTGTTTTGTTTTGTCACAGCATTGTGTTGAACTGAACATGTAGTTTCTGTTAGTACTGCTGACATATATAATCAATCTCATAGTTTCATGCAAATATGTCTTAAATGCATTTCAAAATACAGTTTCGAGGTGGTAAGAGGAATTAATTCCATAGGATTGGTTACTGAAATGCGTATCAATGAAAGATAGAAGCGATGTGAATTAAGTGACCGTCATTATAGTGCCCCGTGGTTTTACTGGCATCTGCAAAAGTAACATATTTGATTTTATGAATTACAGATGTCTTTTTTCTATGACATCTTCCTAGTGGAATCTGCAGGATTTTGAGCAGCTGAACGAGGTGCTGAGAGAAAAATAAAACCTGCCTGGTTTAAAATGGTATTTTCAAACTAGGACAGACTGTAAATAGACTGTTTATAAACAGGATGCTCTGTGCATGTTTAAACTTTGTCAAGTCCTCTAAAGTGGGGGAGCTGCCAGTTTGACACTCCTGTTAGTCACTCACAGCTTTTAAAAACTGGTGGTGTTACCCAAACTACGTTTTAATTCTTAAGATCATTTATATAAAGCATTACTGGTTGCTGCTGTCATTACTTGTTTTTACTAGGAAGGAAACTGGACTGCATTCTCTTAAAGACAAAAAGACAACAAAACCCACCCAATGTGGAACAGTCACCTTGTTGTTAGCGTCTTTGCCAGGGAATAGCAGGTTAAGGTGTCTCCAAGAGTCCCAGCAGCAGTAGCAGGAGGGGGAGGCTCAGCCCATGCAGTGTGGGGTATGAGCTGTGCTCTGCTCCCTCCCAGCACTCCCAGTGGTAAGAGCTCCTCCAGCTCCAGCAACCCATGACTTCCACCCCACCAGGCTGCCTCCCAGATCCTGTCAGGGATTGAACAATGTCCTGCAGTGGAACTGCTTTTAAGCCTTGGTAATCTTTTACTCAGCTATTTGTGACATTTCACTTTGGGAGCAGCAGTGATCTTGATAACCTGATGCCTTCCTTTCTCTTTATACACACTGGCTACTATCTTTTACTCAGTAAAACACCAAAACACACCATAACTTCCTGTCATTCCAGACGTGGCACCTGACTCAGCACTTGTTCAGTGTTAGGTTCCGTGTATTTGTGACCAACAGTATTTGTTCAAGTCTGGCAGTCAGGGGATTTCAACATCAAAACCTGGCCAAGTGACAAAAGGTCATCAAGGGAACATGGCTGTGGTTTTTAATGCCATAAGCATCTGAATCCGCCTCAGGATGTGAAAAGGGCAGCTATGCTTGAAAATACTGTCTTCAAGAAACATAGCATCCCCTCTGCTGAAGTGGACATGAAGTTCTGAGCTCTCAAAGCTGCTTCTTTTTATCCCTAGCCATAGAACTATGCTTCCCCCGCATGTTCTGCTGAACACAGTAGTGTCTCCTAAAGAAAGTTTATATGTAAACTTGTAGTCATAGAAGTATTTAAACTTAGCAATCTAGTCAGAACCCCGTCCTGCAGACCTTAATCCTGTCTAATCCTTTGGCAGGACCTTGCTTGAGGCAATTTGTTTCACAGGCATTCCAAATAATGATTTTAATGTAAGTGGAAGGTGAGCAAAGTGAGGTTTTCTTCACACAGTTGTGAAGCACAGAACTGGTTCTTCTGTGGTTGGGTAAGGGGTGGGAAGGTTAATATAGTGAGAGGGGGAAAAGCTCCCTCTCTGAAAATCATATGTTTTATACTGGACAACCAAACATCCAATGCCTGTCACGCTGCCATCAACACATTCTAACAGTCAGCCATTAATAACACCCTGAAATCGGGTCTTGCCACACAATTTCAACATCTCCCCTTCAACTACACAAGCCGGGGAACTAACACAAATAGCCAAGGCACCAGCCTACAGCAGAATGCCCAACTCAAGAGCTGAGGGTCACCCTCTCTAGCCAAAATAACCCTGTCAGTTCCCAAAGCTGGGCTCTATTTTAGGTCCTTTTGCTAGAGATTGGATAGGAGTGAGAGAAGTTTAAAGTTTTCACTGGCCATTAGTACTTACAGGTAAGTAGCTTGATGCTGCAAGAGTCCTCCAGCACTCTTTTGACTCTGTTGGACCTTTTCAGGTCCCATTTACCTGCAATAAAGAAGGAACTTCCGAAGTCAAAGAGATAAGGATTGTGCATTTTGCAAGTACTAAAACACCTTCATAAACCTCACTGATCCTTGTGCAGTTGGGCAGAAGCCAGGAGGATCCCTTGCTATTGATTCTTGCCTTCTTCACCCACCACCTTCTCTCTTACCAGCACAGCTGATGGAGGGTGTCTGCTGCAGAATTTGCTACACTGGTGAGAAACCTTGGGTGAGGTTTGGCAGGTAGGCAGCCTTCCACAGAGTGAAGGATGGGCACAACCCAGTTTGTACAAACACTCCTGCTGGATCAGGTACAATCACATCCATGCAGTGTGTTACTGCTAATGTAGTCCAACTGCTTTATGCCTGGCAGCTTCTTCTTAATTATTAATACTGTCATTTTTATTGTCACTTGTGATCCATAGCTATGAGAAACACCAGCATGCAGGGCTGCAGGTGCCTTGCCTTAATAGCCTTGGCACGTACTGCAGAGGGATTGTGGTTTTGCAAGAGTGAATTAAATCCTTTTATTGTTGAAACAAAAGTGGCCAGTTCCATTGTGAATAATAGTTGTGGTGGTTATGCTTTTATTTCCCCTGAAACAAATGCAGATGCTCCCCAAGTGGATGCACTGAAGAAGCAACTGTTCTGCAGAAATAACAAATGCTTATAGCCCACTGAAGTGGCTGAATTCAGGATGAGTTTTACTTATCTGAACAGCTGAATTAAATACTTGCTGAACACTAGTAACCTGCACATTTAGACTGGAAATGTACCCATTTTTCATTGCCTCCCTGATATCCTGCTTTCTTTGTAGAAATACCTCTTTTTTGCATCAGCTGCACTGCAGCCACATTGCTTGTCAGGAAGGCATACCAATAGTAACAAGGTCTTACGTCAATGTTTATCTTTATCAGTACGGATCCAGTCTTCCCTAGCAGAAATCCAATACTAGCTGGGAAGATGAAGTTTTAGTTCATATTTGCACGTTCTAATCGGCTGATGAACATGGTATGAGCCACAGAAATACCTGAGAGAGATTTCCAGAGCTGTCACTTGGAGCACACACAGTTCCTTTAGTTGTTCAGCAGAGCACCAAACAGCCCAAGAAATCTCATGTTCCTTATCTGCTCTGTGCTTCCCACAGGAGGTCCCCAGAGCGTGTATGCCCACGTGTCATCCTGAACCTGCTGTTGCTTAGAGATTGGGAAGGGATGACATTGTAATGTTGCTCTGCTGACCCACATCCTGCGCTCAGGCTTTTGCTTTTCTGATGTAACATACAGGATTCCTACAGACCTGTTTGACTTCTGTTAAAAACAACTGTGTAAATAGGCAACCTGACACCTACTGAAGGACATGTGGGATAAGTTTACTGTGGTGCCTTCCCAATAGCTGACGTATGACCTTATTTTGCAGGTCATGGACTGTGCAATGCCTCTGATCGGTGAGCACCAGACTGAAGACCGGCAACATATAACTGAACTAGTCGTAAGCAAAATGAACCAAATGCTGTCCAAAACTCCTATACCATCTCCTCAGAGACCCACTGCCACGCAGCAGCCCCAGGTAGGAAACTTTTGATTGTAAAATAGGGCATCTTATTCTATAATTTTAAGCTCAAATTTCTCCTCAAAGAATCTGGGTGGAAAACTGTGCAGACATACGCTCAACTACAAGGATTAAAGAACTTCTCGACATGTTTTATAGGTTTGTCGTATTAAATGAGATCATCTCCAGATATAATCAAGAACTGGAAGTGTTGGTGTGTTTTTACCAATAAAATGATAACTGGATTCAGTGAATTGCCACCTTTGTGCTGTTCTGTTACAGTTACATCTGTAATGGAAATAATAAGAAGCACTGTCATAGACAATCTGATGATGTCAGACAAAATACTAAGGCAATAGTTACTGTTCTTGTAAGAAATAAATTACATGATAAACTTGTGTGTGCTGCAATTCACAGAAATACCTTACAAACCTAGGAACCTCCTGAAATAGGTTTAGCATACTGGAAAACTAGTGTCTAAGGTTGAAAATAGTTGGATTTCACTTGTTCTCTCTTACATGGCCTGATAGTTAAAGTGTGAGGATGCAGAATTCTGCCCTAGCCTTGCTACCAGCTGGTTTTCAGACTTTGGAAATCATCTTTGTGTTTCCATTTCTGTGCTTAGGAAATGTGAAGTTTATTTTATTGGTCCTTTAAATAACTTCCGAGAGTGTGGTATTTTTGTAAAGGGCTCTAAAAAGTAAAAGTTTTGCCTCTGAATTGGAGAGACAGGATTTGATGGGTGGACTATTAGATGGTTAGGCAGTTGGCCAGATGACTTTGTCCAGAGTTAGAGCCAATGGCTAAGTGTTCAAACAGAAACCAGGAACAAGAAGTGTCCTTCAAGGGTCTGTACTGAGACCAGTCCTGTTTAACATCTTCATTAATGACATACGTAGCGGCATGGAGTGCACCCTCAGCAAGTCTGCAGATGACACTAAGCTGAGCGGTGTGATCGACATGCTGGAGGAAAGGGATGCTGTCCATTCTGCCCCTCTGCTGCTCTATGGGAGACCCCCCCTGCAGCCCTGATCCAGCTCTGGGGCAGCAGCACAAGAGGGACCTGGAGCTGCTGGAGCGAGGCCAGAGGAGGCCATGGAGATGCTGCGAGGGCTGGAGCAGCTCTGCTCTGGAGCCAGGCTGAGAGAGCTGGGCTGGGGCAGCCTGGAGAAGAGAAGGGTCTGAGGTCAGACTGGGTGATTTAGTCTGTTAGATCTAGTCTAGACCTAAAGTTCTGTTCTAACCAAAGCATTCTACTATTCTATGATTCTTTGGAAAGTGCTATATAAATGCTAAGTAGCATCTTTTATATTTTCATAGCTAGGCAGCAGGTCTGATCAAAGAGCAGCATTATCAGCTACTTCTTCTAATATACTGAAGGGACAAACCATGACAATACATTCTGAGAATAAACTATTAAGGACTGTATTGCTGCTCTGTACCCGTGCAGCTCCATGGTAATCAGTTAAGGAACAGAAGAAGCCAAACTGTAATACAGGAATTACCAAACCTAAATCAAGAGTCTTTTTTTACTCTTAGTAGGCTCCACAGCAGGTAAACAATTTGAAACCAATTTTGTGGCATACCTCAGACAGACTAGTTCTTGAGGCAGAATGACTAATTTGTTCTTCAAATATATCATCATGCTTTAAGTTATAAAAATACACCATCCCACATAAAAAAGTGGTGTGGCTTCTATTTATATTACAGCCACTTGAAACTAAGCACAAAATTGTTTCAGCCACCGAACCACATACAATGGAGAAGTTTCCATCCAACATGACTCAAGTCCATTGTAAAGGGCACTGAAAAAGAAAGTTTAGAGGGGAAAAAAATAAATCACCTTATACCAAATTATAGTTTCTTTTGGGGCTAGTAAATGAGTTGTATATTAAAATGAAGCAAAGAGTCAAATTTAGAGTTGCCTAGAGCATACAAGTCAACATAAATCCAAATTTAAAACAGTAACAGACATTACTGTAACATTAATAGATTCATTTGGAAGTCATTTGGAGAGCTTGATAGTTCACATTCTGAGGGAAAAAATACAATGCCTTGCGGATGCCTGATTCCTGGGTTTTAAAGGTGGCAAGGGAGGAGGGATGTTTGTGACTACTGATGTTATCGAAAGCAGGGGTGTGTGTAAATTAAGGTTTTAGTCGTTGCCAAAGAAAAACTGCCT